TCTCCTGTCTCCCCTGGTCCTTCTCTTCCCTAGACTAGCCAGGCCCAGTTCCTGCAACCGTCCATCGTATGTCTCATCCTCCGGTCCCCTCATCATCCTGGTTGCTCTTCTCTGCACTTTTTCTAGAGTCTCAACATCTTTTTTCATAGTGTGGTGACCAAAACTGCATGCAGTGCTCTAGGTGTGGTCAAGTAATTGAAAAGTATTCAGGTTTACGGTTCTTTCGGCACGAGGAGAAGTTAAACTGTGCACAGATGGGTGGGAGGTTGACTGCGATTTTTCTCGGTGTAAGTCTGTGAATGTTTAGCGCATGTGTATGATGTGACCCAAAGGCTATAAAAATGGACCCAGGGCTTATGTATCACATGTGACCCCCTCCCACAATCTGGATTATTTTTTTTTAGACACCCCCACTTTTGCCAGTGCCGCTGTTGAAAATGCAAAATGTAACTCTTGCAAAATACGTGACTGTGGGACGTTCGTGCGCATTGCAGGAATATAGTAGCACATTTTTTTAAAAAAATTCTCCTTCTGCTCCCTGCTAATTTGGGGACTGAAATGATCAATGCTCCTGGGTTTGCCCAACGGACAGAATACAAGAATGAAATAACTTTGGTTTGATAAACATGCTACTTCTCCCAAACAGGAGTTACAACGTTGTCCCAATTTAGCATGTTGTGTGAATGTGGCCTTTCTCTCTTTCTCTTTCTTGTCTCACACACAGGCTGTGTTTGCACAACAGGTTTACCCAGACTTAGCAGCTGCATGTGTACAGTAAGCTAAGCTTAGTTTTAACCTTGGCTTTGTGTGAGTGTGACGGTTCTGTGTTGCAATACGACATCAGTGTTTTGTGCAAACCCAGCCTGTTTAGTTAGTTTACGGTTTTAGTGTATTGCATGATTTCAGAAAATAGTTTAATCCAATAACTCAGTCTAGCGTGCTGTGTTAAATGCAACCACTGTGATTTTTTGTTTTTTTGTTTTGTTTTGGTTTTTCCTTCAACTGCCTCCCCACCCTACAAACCTCTCTGTCTGGGCTGAATCTGTTGCCTTGCACCGTGAGTTAACACATCAGCCATAGTTTAACACCCTTTCTTCTTTTTCCAGAATGGGTTGAATGCCTTACATCTGGCCTCTAAGGAGGGGCATGTAAAAATGGTGGCTGAGCTGTTGCACAAAGAAATTGTGCTGGAAACAACAACCAAGGTAAGAGCTCCAGAGGTTAGGAGGGACAAAGATTCATTGGCTTGGATTGATTAGGAATAATTCAATGCAAAGAGTTTGTTCCAAACCAAACCGCTAGAATTCTCCTCAGGGATCATGCTGGCAGGGGAATTCAAGGCAGGTATTAGAATAGAATAGAAATTCTTTATTGGCCAAGCGTGATTGGACACACACGGAATTTGTCTCAGTGCAAATGCTCTCAGGGTCCATAAAAGAAAAGTTGCATTCATCAAGAGTCAAGAATCATTAGGTACAATGCTTAATAACGGTCATAGAGTACAATAAGAGTAGAATAGAATAGAATAGAATAGAATAGAATAGAATAGAATAGAATAGAATAGAATAGAATAGAATAGAATAGGAATAAAGAATAGAATAGAATAGAATAGAATAGGATATAGAATAGGATAGACTAGAATAGGAGAATAGAATAGGAAAATAGAATAGAATAAGAATAGAATAGAATAGAATAGAATAGAATAGAATAGAATAGAATAGAATAGAATAGGAGTAAAGTAGAACAGAACAGAACAGAACAGAACAGAACAGAGTAGAATTCTTTTATTGGCCAAGGGTGATTGGACACACAAGGAATTTCCTTGGGTGCAAATGCTTTCAGTAGACATAAAAGAAAAGATACATTCTTCAAGAGTCAAGAATCATCAGGTGCAACAGGTAATGATAGTCACAGGGTACAATAAGCCATCAAATCACACTAGGAATCAGTCCATATAAATCGTAAGGATACAAGTGACAAAGTTACATTTTAATTCATTTATTTATTTTAACTCGTTTATCACTCTGGGAAGAAAACAGAATATGCCTTCACCTCTGAACATTCTCAAACAAATTAGCACAATCTCCTCGCCATAAAGGAAAATAGTGATTTTATTATGATTGTGGCTGGGCAAAAAAACCCCACACCACACCATATTATTTACTATCCTCTTGACTTTTAATAAATGCATATTAATCTGGGCTTCACACTACTTCTCAAAGTTTGCAGAATTGCAGTTACTGTGGGATATTGTGGTGCTGCCCAGAGTCAACAGGATTGAGATGGGGGACTATAGAAATTGAATCAATCAATCAATCAATCATCTTGGATGTGTCCAAACGGGCTATGGGTCTTTCCCAGGAGTTTCTCTTAAAAAACCCAAAAATCTCCAAAACTCTTTGAAGGAAGTGATGTTGACGAAACTAGGGTACGATGACTCATAATTGTAGTTACATTCAAGAGCTGAGTTCACGCAGCAACATGCCAATCTGGGCTAAACACAGAGTTGTGAGAACGAACTTTTCAGTACCAAATTACAGTCACTGTTCTTGATTCATCAGAGTCGTTGCTATTTTTTGCTTCTTTTTTTTTAAAAAAGGTTCTCTTCTAGGCTGGATTTTATATATATATATATTTACCTTCCTTCTTCCTTTTTTTTTTTTTAACCCCAGAAAGGGAACACCGCTTTACATATTGCTGCTTTGGCTGGGCAAGATGATGTCGTGCGGGAACTGGTGAACTTTGGGGCAAATGTCAATGCACAATCACAGGTAAGGATCCCCAACAAGCAGACACTGTCAGGTGAGCCTCCTCAGATACCTTTCGTAAAAGTTGCGGTGCCACCACGGAGAAGGGCAGTTAAGGGAAGTAAAGAGATGATGACCAGCCAACACCTACATTTGCAGAGACGAAGGACAGTCAGATGAAGCAGCGACTTCGAAGGCTTGTCTTCACAAACCATGAATTAGCTATCCCTATTACACTGGCCACACCCAGATCCCAGGTATACAGATATACAGTTGGAAGGGACCTTGTAGGCCATCTAGTCCAACCCTCCGCCCAAGCAGGGAATCCTACACCATTTCTGACAGATGGCAATCTAATCTTTTCTTGAAAGCCTCCAGGGATGAAGCTCCCACAACTTCCAAAGGCAACTTCTGTTCCATGGGTTGATTGTTCTCACTGTCAGAAAGTTTCTCCTTATTTCCAGGTTGAATCTCTCTCCTTGTTCAGTTTCCATCCATCATTCCTTGTCTGGCCTTCAAATGTGCTTTGGAGAATAGCTTGCCCCCCTTCTCCTCTCTGGGGCAGCCCCTCAAATATTAGATGCTATCATGTCTCCCCTGGTCTTTCTCTTCCCTCGACTAGCCAGGCCCAGTTCCTGCAACTGTTCTTCGTATGTCTCATCCTCCAGTCCCCTCATCATCCTGGTTGCTCTTCTCTGCATCCTTTCTAGAGTCTCAACTTCTTTTTTATAGTGTGGTGACCAAAACTGGATGCAGTACTCTAGGTGTGGTCTTACGAAGGTCAAGTGTCCAAATTTGGATCCTGTGACCCCAAGGGTGCTGCGTGAAAACAGGTCCCAAGTCCCCGTTTTTTCAGCGCCCCTTGTAACTTGGAATAGTCACTAAACGAATGGGCGTAAGGTCGAGGACTCCCTGCAGTATCTTCCATGGACCGAAAGGACGGATAGCTTGCACACCCTGATGTAACTCTCTGAGTAGGTTTAGTTTTGCAAGTGACTCAGTTTTTTAAGATGCTGAGCTTGTCGATCAGAAAGGTCGGCAGTCCGGCGGTTCGAATCCCCAGCGCCACGTCACGGAGTGAGCTCCCGTTCTTTGTCCCAGCTTAGAAGTTCGAAAGCACATTAAAAAAAAAATGCAAGTAGAAAAATAGGGACCCCTTTGGTGGGAAGGGAACAGCGTTCTGTGCGCCTTCGAAGACGTTTAGTCCTGACAGCCACATGACTACGGAGACGTCTTCGCACAGCGCTGGCTCTTCGGCTTTGTAACGGAGATGATCAGCGCCCCCTAGAGCTGGAAATGATCAGCCCGGATGTATGAGGGGAACCTTTGCCTTTTACCCGACCTGCTCTTTTGCTCGGAGTCTCTATTCTCGCTGGATCTGGAAGATGCCTCTGACCAGCATCTTCCTTGGATCTCGTTGAGCTTTTGAGGAGCGCCGGCTGTTCTCTGCCAACCTTGCCAACTTCGCTTGCTTTCTGCCAACCAGCCAACCAGAAGAGCTGGAGACAACTGTCAAAAAAAAGCTTTCCGCGTGTCTCTTAGATGGACAGGGAAGCAAAATCAGCCGGTCAATCTGTTGAGCTAGCAGCAGCAGCGGCAGGATGGAGAATGTTCCCCCAGGACCCCCTGCAGGTTCCCAGGACACACAGCCTGAGCCCACAAAAACCCTGTCTGGGCTCCTGCATTTTTTTGGGGGGGGGGGGTTATATAAGTTGCTATCGGAAGGTCAGATAAAATAATTGGGGGAGAGGGAACGAAAAGGAGGTGGCTGGGAGAGAGAGCTGGTGGTGGGAAAATGACAGGCTCGAGGTGGGGGTTGGAGGAGCAGCCAGAAACTGGCGCTCTCTCTTTTGAGAGGCAGTTGGATGTTGGTCGTTCTGGCCGAGATCAGCAAGCGAATGTCCTCCCCCTCCTCCCCTCCTCCCAGCAATCTTTCCCATCCTGGTTGCGAGTCACACTTGTGACTCATCTTCCCAAAAGAGGAGAGCAAGAGGGTTTTTTTTTTTGCAATTGGGCTGCAAAACAACAACAACAAAAAAGCACGAAATTCCCCTCTCGATTTCCAGCACTTAAAACAAACACATACCGCCTCTGCATAAGCTGGTGATAATATATATATATATATATATATTTGTTGCTAAGCGGATGAGTAAACAGTGATTCCAGGCACCTGATTTCATCATCTGATAGAAGCCTCGTTTTTATTGTTGCTGGGTTGTTGTTGTTTTTTTGCATTTAGAGCTTCTGGGGTTCCTTTCCTTTGGTTCCCCTCCCTCCTTCCTGGCTCTGCGGGATCAGAGCGGAGGTTGAAACGTGTGGGATGTTTTACCAGAAGCCCTGTTTAAATTTTAAAATGTCTGCAGTGATGGCCAATTGAAGGGAAAGCTAAACAAACCTACCAAAACATTGTAGAGGTTCTCCATCATCCAGGCCAAGGGGGCTTTCTTTCAGGAGGCAACTGGGCTTTCTGGTTTTTTTCTTTCTTTTGAAGACGTTTGTGGGAGAGCCATCCCTGGAGACTTTCAAGAAGAGACTGGACTCCCATCTGTCAGAAATGGTGTAGGGTTTCCTGCTTGGGCAGGGGGTTGGGCTAGATGGCCGACAAGGTCCCTTCCAACTCTGATTATTTGTTATCTGCTTCTCATCCAAGAAGCTTCTTCAGCTCTGACTGGATTGCGGGGAAGGGAAGGATTTATACTCCTTGCAGACAGCTGGTCATTTGCATCCTTTTAGAGCAGAGGTCCCCAACCACTGGTCTCCGGACTGGTACCGGTCCGTGGATCATTTTTTACCGGGCCACAAAGCTTGGGCACCGCCATCTTGTTTTGACAGCGCTTCCGGGTTTCTGGTTGGAAAGTGCTTGCGATTTTTCAGTTGCAAAGCGGCGTTTGGGTGCTCGTGCCTTAGTTTCGTTGAAAGAGGGGGGCAGCTTCGAACGAAGAGCCGTCCCGATGGCGGTGGAGTCTCACGTTACTCAGGTACCGGTCCATGGAAGAATAAATAATCGTGAAAACTGGTCCCTGGTTCGAAAAAGGTTGGGGGCCACTGTTTTAGAGGGTCGTTGAGGCCACTTGGAGGTTTATCTGTGACCCTGGTTCCTGTAGTTAGAATGGTGTGGGAGTAGGAATGGATTCCCAGAGGAAAAGATTGCAGTCTACAGCAACATTGGCACTACTCAGGTGACCCTGAGGACACAGATCAACCTCCAGGTGACCTCAACGACCCTCTAAAAGGATGCAAATGACCAGCTGTCTGCAAGGAATATGAATCCTTCCCTTCCCCACCATCCAGTCAGAGCTGAAGAAGCTCCTTGGAAGAAAAGCAAAATGTCTTCAAAGAAAAAACAAGGAAGCTTAATTGTCTTTTGAAAAAGTACCTTTGGGACTACTAAAACTTTTCTCAAGTCCGGTTCAGGCCTTCTAACATAGAATCATAGGATTGGAAGAGACCTTGGAGTTCTTCTAGTCCAAGCAACAAGAACAATTACGGGGCTAGAGGCTAAAACATATGAAGAACAATTACAGGAACTGTCTATTATATCTAGTCTAGAGAAAAGAAGGACTAGGGGAGACATGATAGCAGTATTCCCATATTTGAGGGGCTCCTACAAAGACAAGGGGTTCAAACGGTTGCAGGAATGCGCGTTAGTTTAATGAAAAGAAGAACCAGGGGTGTCAGGATAGCAGTGTTCCAATATTTGAGGGGATGACACGAAGAAGAGTAGGGTCAACTTATTTTCCAAACACCTGAAGGCCGGACAAGAAACAATGGATGGAAAGGAACTGAGGAGAGAAGCAACCTACAGCTAAGGAGACATTTCCTGAGAGTTAGGACAATCAACCAATGGAATGGCTTGACCTCAGAAGTTGTGGGTGCTCCACCCCCCAAAAAGAGATTGGACAGCCATTTGTCTAAAATGGCACAGGGCCTTCTGCTTGAGTGGGAGGGGTCAGACTTGAAGATCTCAAAGATCCCTTCCAGCTCTGTTATCGTATGATTCTAATTTGTCTCAACCTTATTCCACCTTGGACAATGATTGTCCAGTCTCTTCTTTGAAAGCCTCCAGGGATGAAGCTCCCACAACTTCTGAGGGCAACTTCTGTTCCATGGGTTGGTTGTTCTCCCTGTCAGAAAAATTCCTCCTTATTTCCAGGTTGAATCTCTCTCCTTGTTCAGTTTCCATCCATTATTCCTTGTCTGGCCTTCAGGGGCTTTAGAAAATAGCTTGACCCTCTTCCTCCTCTCTGTGGCAGCCCCTCAAATATTGGAAGGCTGCTCTCCTGTCTCCCCTGGTCCTTCTCTTCCCTAGACTAGCCAGGCCCGGTTCCTGCAATTTCTCAGTGCCTCTCCTCATCTGTGTTGGTTGTGCTATTTGTATGGTGTTTTGAGGTCCCACAGCAGGTTCTCTCTTTGCAGAAAGGCTTCACGCCCCTGTATATGGCCGCCCAAGAGAATCACCTGGAAGTTGTCAAGTTCTTGCTGGAAAATGGTGCTAACCAAAACGTAGCCACGGAGGTGAGTATCTCCCCCAAAGAGTTCACAGACAGTTAGCAGTTCGAGAAAAGAACAAATT